TTTTTTGTTCTATATTTTATTATGCATGTTAATCACAAAGTGGCAATTTGTTTATATTTTATTGTGCATGTTAATCACAAAGTGATATAATTTTTTTAAGGCTCAATGGTGAGTGCTATTATATTTGACTTATTATATCATTGATTGATGAGGGTAAGACGAAGGATTAAAGTCCTATCGCACCAAGAGGCTAACACATCAGGTGAGAGTCCCGATGCATCATGATAATAAAATGTTGGGTTGAGTTCCAACAAATAATGACCTAAAATGCCTTCTTATGGATAAGACGTTGGGTTCAAATCCCAACATAATATAATGATGATGTAATGATGACTGAGCAAATTGATATGCTCTTGATAAAAGTCATGAAATCCGCTCAATTGATTTTCTCCATTCTCTTGTGTGAATGTGATAGCAAGGCATAATATGTCTGAAAAATGACAAGTGGTTGAATGGATGAATATGGGTGTGGTAAAATGTTAATGGTCATCATTGTGGTAATTAAAAGGAAGAACATTATGGGTTCTTAAGATGTTCCTTCAAATGTGAAGGTAATTTTGTCCATTAAAGTGGTATAAGAGGTTATTAGACACACTGTTTCTTAAGATGGTCCCTCAAATGTGAAGGTAATTGTAAAGGTAATTTTTATCCATCAAAGTGGTATGAGAAGTTATTGGGCACATTGTTGTTGGTGCAACACAATTTGAAAAGTTTTGTAAATCCTCCATCAAAATAAAGGAATACAAGGTAGTAGTACATTTGGTACGTTTGACCTCTTAAAGTGATGTTGAGATAAGTCACATAAATTTCATAAATGAGAAAGCATGCATGACAATGAGTTTCTAATAAAAACTTATGGAGCATGTTCAAATGGTTATGTTCAATTTCTTAAAGAAAATGTGACTTGTGTTCTTATGGATAAGAACATGTTCATGTATTGTTGGATAAATGTCACATCTCATCTCTATGGGAGGTTTGAGAGATTGAAAAGAAATATTTTTACATAAATGGTCATTTAGTCATATACTTTAAGTACTACACAAATATTGTGGTATGTTAAATTATAGAAGGACGAAAGAAAGAAATAATTCTTTCTTATAAAGGTTGTGGCCATGACCAAAATAAATATTGTTATGTGGCAACACAAATTTGGCATTGGTTGTCAAAAAAATATATCTTGCATGTGATAATTTTAACCATGACAATAAAAATAATTTTCTCCTTGAAGGAGATGGTTACCATAAGAATGGTTGTGTGAAATTTGTGGTAGTACACAAAATTAATTGAAAGTTCCGAAAGGGCTAATTTGTTACTATCCGGAG